AAAAAATTCACTCATCTGCTAAGCTCTTCTGATGCATATTATTATTATGACATTTACAGACTTAGTTGAAGAGAAAATCACCTCTGTCAATGTTGGGAAGGGTGGTGTAAATGTCAATGCAGGAAAACCAAAGCCTGGAGGCACTTCTGTCAATGTCGGAAAGGGCGGGGTAAATGTTAACGCAGGAAAGGGTAAGCCAGGAGGGACTTCTGTCAATGTTGGAAAGGGTGGAGTAAACGTTAATACAGGAAAAGGTAAGCCTAGAGGCACATCTGTCAATGTTGGAAAGGGTGGAGCAAATGTGAATAATGGTGAAGGAAAGCCAGGTGGTGGTGGTACCAGGGTGAATGTTGGCAGCAAAGGTGGAGTATCTGTGAGCTCAGGAGGCAAGGGCAAGCCTGTGCATGTTACAGTAGGGAAAAGCCCATTTATTTACAAGTATGCTGCCACTGAGACTCAAGTCCATGACAACCCAAATGTAGCACTTTTCTTCTTAGAGAAGGACATGCATCCTGGAAGAGTAATGAATCTGCATTTCCCAGAAAATACAGAGACCGCAACTTTCTTACCTCGTCAGGTTGCTAAACAAATACCATTTTCATCTGAAGAATACAAAGAAGTCTTGAAGCAGTTTTCAGTAAAACCTAGATCAGTGGAAGCCGAGATCATGAAGAACACAATTGAGGAGTGCGAACAACCTGGGATTCAAGGTGAGGAAAGACATTGTGCAACCTCACTGGAGTCAATGATTGACTTTAGCATCTCCAAGCTTGGGAAAAATGTCAATGCAATCTCTACAGAAGTGGAAAATCAAACACAGCAGGAGTACACAATTGAAGCTGGAGCAAAGAAGATGGCAGGTGAAAAGTCAGTAGTTTGCCACAAGCAGAATTATGCATATGCTATCTTCTACTGCCATGAAACAATAACTACAAGAGCTTACTTGGTTCCTTTAGAGGGTGCTGATGGGACAAAAGCAAAAGCAGTAGCAGTCTGCCATACAGATACATCAGCCTGGAATGCAAAACATTTGGCTTTTCAAGTCCTTAAAGTTAAACCAGGAACCTTTCCCATCTGTCATTTTCTTCCTCAGGATCACATTGTCTGGGCTCCTAAGTAGAAAGCCTGCAGAATAGATCTGAATCCTTTAATTCCTTACATCTATCAAACTGCCATGTAGTTTGAACCAAAACAGATCAAAACCATATCCACTCAGTTTTATAATAATGTACCTAAACTTCCTGTCCTCCATGAGGTTTAGTTATGAATGTACTTAATGATGTGTTACGTATTGAATATGTTGACACTTTCACATAATGATGGCTGAATGGTGAATTGAATCAACTGGAATTCCATTCCCTTAAAAGAATTACTAAAAAGAAATTTTTTTAAAAAAAGGACCCTTATATAGGAACAAAATTATTATTATTATTATTATTATTATTTTAAAAGCATCAAACTGTCTAACAGTAAACACTCACAACTGATCCTTTCAGTTGTCATGTTCTTAGAATTAAGAAACATTTGCACGAAATCAATGACATAAAAAGGCAAGATCACAGAATTATTTCATTCTTTTATAATCATCCTTAGCAAAACAAGGGCTGAAGCCATATAATAGCAAATTTCATTGAGTGGCCCCCTTAACCAACCTAATAAGTCCTTCTATGTATCTCCTCAACATGAAGGGATAGTGACAACAGCCAGATTCACTGCAGAAAAAATATAAGCATTTAACTAATCAAGATTTCTTTACTCAGAAGATCAGAAGATTTTTTATGGCTTACTTCAATCTGCATTCAATCAAATTCTGTTCTCCTGTGTACTTTACTCTCAGTGATTCAAGATTTGGATATGACTTCCCCTACATCTTGACCAGCTGAGAAAGGTTCCAAAGAGCCCCATGTTGTTCCAACTTTAAGTTTCACACGCAATGGAACTGAGAATATGATGAAGTAGGGTCACAGTAAGCACATATTCAAAATATTAAGAAAAACTACAATGTAATGCTGAATGCAAACCTAAAAGTGAGGCAGCACTTTCCATGCTCATTTGCAGCAACCATGTGGCTTCTTTTATCACAGATGGTTCAACTTCCAATACTAGTTCATCATGAACCTATATAATGATCAGGAGAATTTTCAGCCCAATTTAGCTCAAAAGGTAGACACAGTAAATTTTGAAAAAAGCTGCAGTAATACTTCAAATTTTCAAGCTTTTAATGACAGGAACAAAATTATAAGAGAAGCAGTTCATAAAAGATACCTGCAAAAGAATTCTGCAGCGACCATGCAGCATATGAAACTTAGCCGCAATTGTTGAGTTAGAATCTACATCTAGTTCATTAGCCCCTTGAACAAGCACAGAGTAGATTCTAATCATCGCTATCTTGATTATGTCAGCAGCAGACCCCTATAGAAAGAAGCCATTAACACAAGACTGATGTGAGTCTTTGCTACCCTGATTCCAAACAGGATAACAGAAAATTACCTGACAAATAGAATTCACAGCTTGTCTCTGAGCTTTTGATTTTTCTTTACTGTTTCCAAATTTTATTTTTGACAAGAATCGCTTTCTTCCCCTGAGAGTTTGCACGTACCTGTACCCCAAGCACATTCAGATAATCAGTCCATAAAGGCATAAACCCCATTAAGATTAAAATTTTGACCAGAGCAGCACATTCCAATGAACCTGCAGAGAAAAAAATCTCACAAGACAAGCTGGAAAAATTGAACCAAGGATATGACATAGAAAATAGAATGCTACCATACAGCACTATTCAATATGAAAAGAAAATTGAAAAACCAAACTCTTAAGATGGTGCAAAATAAAAAAGAACATGTAATCAACAAAATGAAGGAATTGAGACGAGGCAACATTTGCAACATTCCAGCCAAAGCCGATAAATTTCTGTAACCAGTGAATAGCCATGCACAATAAAAAACGCAAATAAGAAGCCCTTACCCCTTCTGACGGCAAGCTGAGACTGCTTCATGAAGCCAAGATGTGACACCAGGAAACGAGCTTTTAAAGCTCTTAATTTTTTCTTTAGCTTCATCTGAACTGCAATTTAGTTGTTCTGCAAGAGTGTCGGCACCCATTCCATAAAGAATACCATAGACTAACCTTTTGGTTTGATCTCGCTCATGTGAACCAATAGAATCTTCTTGCTTCCCAGTCCATATTGCTGCCATCAGGGTAAAAACATCTCCCTGCGGCTTACTGAGGAGTTCAATCAATGCGGAGTCCTTAGAGAAGTGTGCCATCAACCGCAATTCTATCTGAGAATAATCTGCTGTCAACAGTAGCCAATTATCCTGCAATAGAAAGTTGCAAGGATGCTCATTAATGGTAACAATAAAAAAAATAGTCGTGCAAACACATTTTCAATTTTTCTGAGTATCAATGCCCAGGTCACCCCCCCCAAAACCCCAATTTTTTCTTCTTAAATCTTGTCCCCAGACCATAATGCCAAAACTCTCAGCTGCTATCTGCCTAAGAAACAGCAGATCATAAAAATTGAATCCCACAGCAGAGTGTTGGCCAAAATTTCCTTTTCAAGCTAGTGAAAACTAAAATATAATAATTATAAAACCATGATTGTGTTAATTGAAAGGCAACAGAATCAAGATGCAGGTAAGCAGAAAACAACAGAGAGAATACTAAAGTCCTCAAAATTTCTTGTTGTTGAAGCCCTGGTTTCCTATCCTCCATATATGATACATAGTTTTCAAAAACGACAGCTACAACAGCATTTCCAACAGCATCTTCTAATTATAAATGATAGCATAAGCTTTTGTGGCATCTTGCTACTACAAAAGCAATGCTTTGAAGATCAGATAAAAAAATCATTACCTGAGTTGGCACAAAGAAATCACGAGCATTGATTTTATAGTGATCAGCACTGACCTCATCTTCATTTTTGTTTTTACTGAGTTTGAACTCAACCATATGCTCAACACACTACATAAGAGAAAACAATAAATTGATGAAATGAATAAATACCAAGGAGAAAATTCAGAGGGAGAAAGAAACAAGGACATTGAGTTGATAAAACCTGAAGATTAGGTTCCTCCATTGAAAGTCGTCCAGTTGCTGTTGATGTTTGAAGCCAGCGGCCATGTAGTGAATATTTCTGAGTGCTTGATGACAACCTAGCTAGTGAACAAATTGATCCCAAAGTACAATTCAAGAGCTTTGCCAACGTTCTATGCTCTCTAATGACTGGAATAATGGGATGTTCATCTCTGAAACAAAACCAAATCTATTTTAGTATCCAAGTAAAAGGAAAAAAGGAAGAGAGAAAATGACTTTATCTGCAATAATTAGCATTCACGAGAGAAGTAGGAAAAAATTAATGAGTATTTGACTCTCTAT